ACTGTCTCTTATACACTTAATGCATATTGGTTTGGTAGACTATTTACAGTTTGTTTCAAAGACTTGCAGTACATGCATATAAAATGTTTAACGGTTTTCATTTAATTTTTGAATTGTTTGTTAAGCTATTGTTGGATAGAGTAAACTGAAAAAAGGAGGGATGTAGTGTACTCAAAGTTGTATATCGCCCTCTATTATTGTAAGAGCAGAACTAGTATCTTTGGTTGTGATGGTTGTTGAATATGGTGGATAATAAAGACAACCGGTTTGGATTACTTAGATGTGGCTTTGTTGTTCATTTGTCTCAGTGAGTGAATGAGAGACATAACAGAGTCCCTAAATATTAATGTATTATGCAAAACATGCATTTGGCTACACGATTTACACTATTATATGACAATTTCAGCTTGTATTATTAATCTAAAAAAATCCGGTTTTAACGCAGCTCCCTTGAGTCGCTCCCATCCGACCGCTTCTCAGCAGTTTATCGTTGTGCGCTACTACACCCATTTTGGTTCTAGTTGTGCACAGTGATAAATAATAGGATACATTTGAAATTATTGACGGGCAGTTTATCACTGTGCGCTACAATACCTATTTTGGTTCTAGTTGCTCACAGTGATAATGAATAGGATAAAATTCATTTCAGTTGATGGGCAGTGTATCGAATGCATAAGTTCACCTCATGCTCAAAATCAAACTTCCAAGTTGTAGAGTCCCTAAATATTAATGTATTATGCAAAACATGCCTTTAGCTACACGATGTACACTATTATATGACAATTTCAGCTTGTATATTAAGAAAAATTAGGTTTTACCGCAGCTCTCTCGAGTGGCTCCAATCCGATCGCTTCTCGGCCATCTTGTAAAGGAAATGGTTGCCAGAATCACATATATATGACTTATGCATTCGATACACTGCCCATAAACTGAATTGAATTTTATCCTATTCATTATCACTGTGCGCAACTAGAACCAAAATGGGTATAGTAGCGCACAGTGATAAACTGCACAGCACTAATTTCAATTGTATCCTATACATTATCACTGTGCGCAACTAGATCCAAAATGTGTATACCATTTTGGTTCTGTCAAATTTTTCCAATAATTTTAATGCAGACTTTAAAACAATACTACGGTATATAAAATGCTAGGAGGCCTTATGAATCTTCATGTGTATATTCAGTTTTTAGTGCTTGCCATGTGAGGTGAACAGTGTGTGACTAGCGAAAAAATGAACTTGATTAGCAGATGATTAGCTAGGCAAAGAGAGTACAGTATATTCTATAATACTGTCATCGAAAAATAGGCGTAATTGGGTACGTTCCACTCAATAATAAGAGTCATGTCATTTATATAGCCATCAAGCAAGGCATCATCCTCAGGACTTACAGTAGGCAAAGGCACATATACACACACACTACTGCTAGTCTTTGGTAATATTTATATGACAACACTTGCAATAAAAAAATTGAATATACTGTAAAACAAGAGGATTCATACAGGCCTAGCATTTTATATACCATAGTACTGCATTAAATGGCCCTGCATCAAAAGTAGATTCGAGAAATTTGACACTAATTAATAGGCCCTAATCACGAAGGGGACACTCATTCTCGATCTAGGCCTAGATTCTGTACCATGAGAGTGACGAAGTCTACAGTACGTAAAGTTTTGTGCATTCAAAGTATATGAATATTTTGGTCGGATAAGATAATCTTGGCATCTTGGACTAAAACTTGGGATGGTGGGATTGAGAACTTCAGACTTGGTAAGACCGTGTTTATGACTGATATATGCCACCCACACCTATGTCACTAGAGCAGGGCCGCCGCCAAAAGAAGAATCCAAGCAAGGCCTAGCTAAGCCTGCTTGATTGCTTAGATTCTTCACCAGCGAAGAATTTAAAAGCAAGACAAAAGAGGCGGATTCCCTAGAGGAATGCCAAGACTTTGGTACTGAAATCAGTCCTTGTTTGATAATGGTTATATATAGGCCTAGCTAAATGAAACTCTTTACTATAAAGTGGAACAATACGCCTATTTAACGATGACAGTAAAGTCAAACAATATTGTACTTTTGATGTTCTAATTTCCCAGTACATGGTTCTCCTTCCACCGCTCATTGCGGGTGATATGCAATGCCATGCCAGTCTTCAAAAAATGACGTCACGCACATTCTGGCACTTCATTGGGTGATGGTGACAGTGACGTAATGCCATTTACCGTACCTTTAGCAAAACGAAAAAACTATAGTATACAAAACAAGATAGTGATGTTCAAATGTACTGTTAGTTATTTTGCCAATTTTTTTAGGGTTTAGTTAAGTTAAACAATTAAATATACATGAAAATACATGTAATTTTGTGTTTCTCCTCAACAAAATTTTTTTTTTTCACCCTAACAGAATGGCTTTAGACAGCACCCTTGGCAAAATCTTGTCCTTGAGTGCTTCAGCTTCAGGGAGATGCGCATCCTCACCCCCACAAAGCTAAAATTCCCTGTGAAATAACCACCTGGCTGTCGAGGAGTTGCTCTTGGGGAACCCCCTTACGGAATTATTATTAAGGGCTTTGGTGTACTTTCATGTATAGACTATATTCTGATCCTAGCAGTAGTAGCTCCAGAAATTTGCTTTCAGACGGGCCAACCAGTAAGGGGTCCGAACCAAGTGGCTGCCTATTGTAGTGTCTTGGTCACAGTCACAGATTAAGATTCCTGGTAGGTTTCATGGGAAGAGATTTTATGGTTTATGGATGGTTCAAAATTGTGCTTGTGACCACAATATTAGGTGGGGATTCGGTCATAATAACTTAATTAGATCGACAAATTAATATTTTTGGTCGTCTGACGCCACAATGTGGTGTGGACTACAGAGGGGTCAGACATGAGATGGGTGGGGAAAATTACCTCTGTCACTAGATCGTAGCTGTAGATTTTATTTTATTACAACCATCATAATTGACATGTAACTTGGTCACTCTGCAAATATCATTCAAAGGCCACTTTCGACAATTCCATGACATGCCTTGTTGGCCTTGTTTCCAATAGCTGAACTATCTTCTAGTTCTAATGGTATACATTTTCATGGTGGCTTCTTTTTCCACAAGTATATCTACAGTATTGAATTATAGGACTACTATTATAGCTACTGTCGGTAGATGTTCCAAAGCAACCCACTCACTGGGATGGTAAGTTGTCAGTGTCTTGCACACTCACTACTTTTACTAAAGCTCTGTCCACACATCAAAATTTCTTTGACAAAAAACTGTTGTATGCCCATATAAAGTTATGATGTACCTATGGTCATGATGTGATGTCATCATGACCATATTTAGGCATGTCACATGTTTTTGTCAAATAAAATTTGATAGTCTGGACAGGCCTTTTGGCTATTATTAATATGATAATCAATAATTAAGTAATTACCAATTATTTCCATTCCACTTTTTGTTGTATAGATTTGTTGTGATTTTGAAGGTTTGAATCAACAAAAATATACCCTGTTGAATACATTTACCAGGGGTATCAAAGGAGAGTACTGTATTTTAGCAAAAAGGTATCACTTGAAAAAAGTCAACCATCATCTCATCACACTAAAGTGCATTTTGAAATTGTATATAGTCAAAAACGCTATCAAAATGAATGCACAAAGAGTCTCAAACTACCCTATTGCTTCGCTGTATGTTGGAGATTTGAATCCTGACGTCACAGAAGCTATGCTTTTTGAGAAATTCTCAACAGCTGGGCCTATTTTGTCCATACGTGTGTGTCGTGATGCGATCACCAGTCGCTCTTTTGGCTACGCCTACGTACAGTTTGAGCAGGCTGCAGATGGTAAGTTCTTTTTTACTTCAAGTCATCACTATTTCTGTGATGACTTTTATCAGACTAGCCTATCAGTGTCCCACTTTTTATTTCAGTATTTTCACAGTACAGTAGGCTTAGATACGCAATGATCAATGTGAAGTTGCACACTGTTCTGCATTGTCTGATGCATATTCTATTTATTTAAATATTTCCAAGCCAACAGTGAAAAATAGGATGGACACAAAATATATAATATAAACTCTAAAAATACAGAAACCCAAGCAAGACAATCTAAAAATACATTCCTTAACCCCTACCCCACCATGAACATAAAATCAAGAAACTAATCGCAGTCACAAAGGCAACTTACCCCGGGATACTTTTTAAAATGAGCGATCGGTATAAAACACTTTCAAAAGATATCAACGTTACAATTTTGATTGACAAAGTAATTTGATATTTTAATTTGTAATATACTTTTGTTAATAATTCAGTAGACCTAATATTATTATTTTATATTATCATATAGGTATAGGCCTAATATTTAAAAAGAACCTCCCTGAAACAATTTTTGTACCACAGATCTTATCTGTGGTTCCATGACCAAAATCAAATGCAGTTATGTTGGCACCTTCATCTAAATGCATCATCTTATATTTCACATTTTATTTTATTTTTTTTCCAGTTTCATTAAAGTACATAATACAATTGAAATTAAAACCATTTTTTTTATTTGTTCTGCTTTAATTTAACAGAAAATCTCCGACCAGTTGTGGCTTCAGAAATTTGCTGACAAGGGGTCCGACATGTCCGACAGCGGGTCCGAACCAAGCGGCCAACTATCCCCTCTCCCCCCCTTGCTGGTGCCACCACTGGCTCCAAACAAAACATTTGCAAAAACAAGTGTTATTTTTTATTTATTTTTTTTTTATTTGTAATTTGTTGTTGATTTGATGATGAATAAAAATCTGAATTAAATTGAATTTAGACCATGCTGAGCTTAAAAGTAATTTGGACATTTGATTTTATATTAATATTGCTAATACAGCATAAAAATCTTTTTTATATCCATGTATTATGACCCAGAACAAAATTATATCACAGATTTGCTACTTGTGTTAAACGAAACATATTTTTGATTGAATGATTTTCCCTGAGTGATTTTGTTATATCATAAAAAATCATATTCTATGGCTATGGAAATATTGAATTTTGAAAAAAATACAAATCAACTAACAAAAATCACCAAATATATAATAATGAGTCCACTAATAACGAAATACCTATTTGACAAAAAAATAACTTAATGCGGGATTGGGCAGCAACTATGTGCATTGATCATTGCATTGGCAGATCTAGGGGGGTGAATAGGGTAGCTAGCCACCCCCCTTCGGTGACCTTGAAAAAAAATATAGTCACTCGTCTTGTGTGTGTGTTTCTCATGTATACATGTTCCATGTAGTAGGCTACTCTCGTAAAACATACTTTCTATTCTAAACTTTTTTAACCACTATCAACCACCACTAATTGCGTCTGCTCTTCTGCTGTTATGTAAATATTCACAGCATTCTTGTCATGAGAAATGCTCTCTGGAGAAATGCTCTACCGCACCAGCATTGGTAATTTTCGGTTTCCTTATGTCCTTATATTATCTTTTTTCTTTCAAAAAGTGCCTCTTGAATTTAATAAGTTCCACTAAGAATCCCTCGATTTTCATCTATTTCCATAAGCACCCCCTCAATTTCCACTGTTTTCATAAGCACCCCGTTTAAATAAGCGCCCCTTCAAAAATGCAAAAAAATATTTTAAGCGCCCAGGCACTTATTCGTGCGAGTGCATTAATTTTGAGGATGTTAAGGTGTTTAATATTTTAAGCTCCCAGGCACTTATTTACGCGGGTACATTAATTTTGAGAATGTTAAGTTGTTTAAAGATGGGTTTAGGTGGTGCACGGTAATGAGAAAATGTAATAACATGGGCGGTGCGTTGAAATAAATTTATTTTGACTTGTCTAAATTGGGTGGATATTCAGCAGTCCAAATATCTTGTAGTAAAGTCGATATGGTTGTATAAGAGTATTGTATAACTAACATAAGAATTTTTTTATGGTAATATAACAATTCATTGAAATATATATAAATCTCTTATTCTTTGAAAATTAAATTGCAGGTTTGCCGAGCGTGGGGTTTTTTATTCCGCTTTTGTGAGTTGTGTCCCCTTGTTTCACCCAACCCTCAAATTTCCTGTTTTTTGGCAAATGTTTGAATGGCAATTTATACCGAAATGACCAAACAAGTTCCAGTTTCAAGTTTCTTTTATTAATAATTATCATATTCATAGCCAAGGCCTAATTACGAGGTGTTTAAATTTTTTAAACAGATTAGAGAACATTAAAAATTATAACAAAGCTTCTTTATTAAATAAAATATCGTACATAATAATATTAATTGGTTAAAATATGAAAATATCACTGTTAGCAATTAGTAACATTATTTACAGTTCTATTAATAAACTAAAAACAACCATAAATAGTGACTGCTATTTACTGGCTTCAATAAAATATAATTCAGTCATTTTTTGTTAAATTGGCAGTTTGATTTGTGATTTATAAGGACATGATAAACTTTTTCAACTCTCTGTATTTTTATTTTTTCATCTGTATAATGCATTTTAATATTCTTCTTTGTTGACATTTTCAAATCTTTTTAAAAATAAGCTGAGAGAGCACTAGACACCATGAACTTTGATGCCATCAAAGGGCGCCCTATTTGTATTATGTGGTCTAAGCGTGATCCAACTTTGCGTCGTACTGGCATGGGTAACGTCTTCATTAAAAACTTGGACAAATCAATTGATAACAAAGCTCTCTATGATACATTTTCGGCTTTTGGTAACGTCTTGTCTTGTAAGGTAGGTACATATACAAATACAGTATACTGTTTCAATATTTATGTATGCCTACATTTGAGGTTTATTGTAGTCTTGTGAAAAAGTATTGTCACTTACTAAAAAAATGTGATTGCCAGAAAACATTTCTTCAGGTCCCTTACAACACCCTAATGCATGGAAATTTAAATAAAATTTTCACAAATTATCTGGGATTCAGAAATCCATTACATTATATAGGCCTCGATATGCTACTTTGTTGGATCTTTCTGAGTTTATCCAGTGTACAGGTTTGTAGCTGTAGAAAACTAATGGTGGGTGGTAGATATTTTAAAGGCGGGTGATAACATTGGTAATCCCTATATATTAAGAGTGGATTTAAGGGATGGGAAAGTGGGTTAATAACGGTGGGTGGAGTGCAATGAAGCATTGGAGTGTGTGGAAAACTTAAAGATTGAGTGACTACATCCCTGAATAACCTTAATTATAGTTTCATTCATATACTGCCTCTTTTTTTTTTATTCTAATACATTTACATATCTAATGCATTTAGATTCAGTGCGATGAAAACAACGAATCTAAAGACCACGCCTTCGTTCATTTTGAGACCGAAGATGCCGCCTCTAAGGCCATCAGTAAAGTGAATGGCATGTTGCTCAATGGAAAAAAAGTGTAAGTGATAATTTTCATATCTGGAAATGAAAATTCTAAAGCCGAAAAGAGAACATAACTAAACAGAATTTGCCATAGTTGAATGAGATAATATGCATTCCAATATAAGAGGGGAAAGGATGTGTCATGTGTACTTTTTTTTTTTCTTTATTTATACACGGCAAAAAACCCAAATTCAACATAGAAAATACAAAATCAAATAGAAATTGTAAAAAGTTGTTCTTCCTTGAGTCCGTGGTTCAACAATAAAATTAATAATAATAATATTAATAATAGAAGTAACAAAAACAACAAATCATTAAACAACAACTGTTCAGTTTTAGAAACATGATTTTAATACCAGTCAACACTATCTCTCAGTTATGTAGGTCATTGGATTCCTCGCAAAGCCCGGGATGCTGACATGGGAGATAAGATGAAGAGCTACACAAATGTTTTTATAAGAAACTTGAGTGAAGATGTATCAGATGACCAGCTGATGAAAATGTTCTCCAAATATGGCAAGATTGTTAGTGCCAAAGTTATGCGAGACGATGGTGCTAAAAGCCGTGGCTTCGGTTTTGTGAGCTTTGAGGACCACGAAGCAGCATCACAGGTGACTTAAAATTTTATATTATGTAACATCCTTCTATTGTAAGTAAAATAAAAGTGCAGTACTTTACTGAAAAAGAAATCACATCTGGTGTCGTGGTTTTTTGAGAAAGAGGAGCTTATTAAACATTTAAAGTAGTAGAATGCAGTCAACCTAATAAAAGACTTGCTATCCATGCTGTTAGCCTCTGAATAATAATTTAAAAAAAATATTTAAAAAATAGGATTCAGAAATTAAACAGGAATATTTTCTTGTAGTATTTGTTACAAAATTATTGAATACTTACAGTAGATAAGCATTTTTTGATAGTGGTATGGAGGTGATGATTTCCATTCCGGATTTTCGTTGACATACAACATAGAAGTTTTTATTTGTATTCATACTGTCTGATCCACTGTCATTGATTAACAATAATGCTTCTCACATCACTTGATCATAATGGGTTCATAAAAAAAGCATTTAAGGTGATAATGCACTATTATCTTTAAAATATTTAGCTCATGCTTATTAGTTAGCAGTATCAGTTACATTAAGGTCATATTTGAACGATAATTTTTATCAAAGAGCAGTATACAAAGTATTATGTACTTGGTCAACATTTAAAAATTAATTACAGCCTTAATTTTCAATTGAAAGCTAATATCATACACAAAATATCACTGAGAAAGTTTACTATCTTTCTCTTTTTGTCTTTGCTCAGCATTGACAGTATATCGGTGGATTTTTGAAAAGTAAACAATAGATTTTCATTGGTTTTTAATAACAATAATTAAATGAAAAATTCTGTCTTACAGGCCACTCAGCAGTTGAAGAATGTTGATGTGGACGGTCGTACTTTGTATGTTGGACGTGCACAGAAGAAAGCAGAACGTCAAGCTGAGCTTAAACAGAAATATGAACGACTGAAAGCAGAGAGAATAAATCGCTTCCAGGGTGTTAACCTATACCTAAAGAACCTTGATGATGAAATTGATGACAAGCGGTTGCAGAATGAATTTGAAAAGTTTGGTACTATTACAAGTGCAAAGGTATTATAAAAATTGTCAGTGATGGTAATATTCACTTAAAAGATATTGTTTTAAATGGTGAAAGTTGGTACATTTGAAAAAAGATATAACAGATTATATACAATAAACTACTGAATCACTTAACTGGTAAAAGTGGAAGCATGCAATGCTAAGGGTTATGTGAGCAGTCCTGTGAACTGTAGGCCCAGTGTACACAATTGGCTCATTGTGCACTATAAAGAACCCAGTACATCTTTCGAGGCAAATAGGGGTTACAAGCATTTGCATCCCCTCTTGGAAAGAGGGAACTTCGAAATAATTGTCTCCATATCTTCGCTAATTAAATTAATCACCGTAATTTAGCTTACACTTGTGAATTTAGCTGGCGCTTAAAATGTACAATAACCATTTTACTACCCGACAAACTACGAACTTTATTCATTTGGCCTACATAATAGTTTCATCTTGCTGTACTATATACTCCATCATCACTGGCGCATGGTAACAACCAACTGATGCAGACCATTTCCGGTCACACATTACTCTCCATAACACAGCACCCCCTAGTTCCGTCGCCTCTGGATTAGTTAATGCTACTGTTTTTTTAATTTTCAACATATCTTTGGAGCATATTGTTATGTAGATCATTGCAAAAGTTGCCAGGTTAACAGCATTTGTGCTTCATAGTTTCATTATATATAGGCATGTTTATTTCATGTGTGAAATAAATTTAAATGACTGCTATTTTATTGAATTTTTAAAATGCTTTATTTACCTCAGGTTATGAGTGATGAGAAGGGAATCTCAAGAGGATTTGGGTTTGTGTGCTTTTCTTCCCCTGAAGAAGCAACTAAGGCTGTTACTGAGATGAATGGAAGAATCATTGCTACTAAACCTCTCTATGTAGCACTAGCACAGCGGAAAGAAGATCATAAGGCACAGCTGGCCGCCCAACACATGCAACGTATTGCAGGGATTAGAGTTCCCGTAAGATTTTATAAATTTTTGATTTTGCTCTATTATTGGTATTCAGTAACATCTCCCAATTACATACCCCTCCGTCGGAGTTCATAATTGAGAAAATTCGTAATTCAGAGAGTTTGAGTTTTCATAGCATCTCAGTGTGGTGGGGGTAGGCCTATTCTACAAAGTATAGGGCTAGGTAGGCCTAAGCCTTGCCATGGGAGCAAAATTTTGTCACGAAAATTGACTTGGATTTACCGTTTACTGCAACAAAATAGTACTTTACAGGAGCCAAAATTACCTGTGCTCACTGTGAAGTATTCATTTGAAGTGATTTTCGAATGAAAACATGACTAAATAATGGCCAAAACGAGTGTTATTATTTTCTTTTAAAAAAAATTTCGAATCCATGCAAATAGCACCCCCAATGAACAAAAACTGAGATTTACTGTACAGTATGCATGAACATGTATGCACAGCTGAAATGTAATATATCTCGGCTGAAAATGATTGATATGTCTTGCTTTAAACTTAGTTTTGTCACTTCATTGGTTTAAATATTTTCCTTAGTTGATACAAAATTTTACATTATTTTTGAAGACTTAAATACAATTTAAATTGTTTTTGTAGTTAAAAGCGATCTTTCGTAATGACGTCATTGTCACAAATTGGGTTCATAAAATCGACAGTTCGTAATTGGGAGTTGTTACTGTAGTTAAATATTTATGTACATACATCACAAGGCTAAGATTTACTTAAAAAAAGCAGCATAATAATGTTTATAAACAGTATATTGCCACACTCTACACAATAGCCTACTGGTGTTCTGTGATAATGGTACTGTAATGCTAATGTTAAGATATTTGTACAGTGCCTTCCACAATAGAATATTCTCAAGACGCTGACAGTATTCAGACCGCAAATCATATTGATAAACAGAAAAGAAAAAAAACGGGCTGTTCGCATTCTGAAGTGACACGGCAGCCTGAAATGGCATTAAACAAACCACGAACACAAAAGGGAAGGAAAATGTGCTCTCTGATGTTGAGATGGTGGTGTCTTCACCACAACCGTGTACATGCAGGTACCCCAGCAATCCAAAGAAGTTGATATATTACATATAATTTATGGCATGGTACTAAAAAATTAGATTGGCAATTATCTTTTTGTGGATCAAACCCATTTTGTACAAATTAAACATACAATTTTCAATATGAACCAATTTGTTTATAATAGGGGAATGCACAACAGATAAACCAGGTGTTTAACCCAGGGTTTGGGTACTTTACTCAAACCGTTCAGCCCCCACAAGCACGATTATACCCAGCAGGGCAGATGACCAAAATCAGAAACCCAAGGTGGAATGGTGCTAACCAACCAAGACCAGGTTTGTCATGTTTCATATTTCTAAATTGCTTAATTTTAATATATTTTTTTTCATCCTTTTGCTGCTTAAGTAGGGCCATTTCCAGGTATTTTATCACTGTTACGTAAAAAAATGTTCAAAATCGACTTTGTCCAACTTGAATAATTTCCAAGTTAATCTTATTTTACATGGAAAATTGTTTTGTTTTCCATTAATTAGCAGTATGCAAGTCAAATTTTATCCAGTCGAACAATTTTTTAATGTCATTTTAGATTCGTCTGTATTTTCCATTCCTTAGTTTTTTCTATATACAGTAGAACCCCTCATTTACGAACCCTGATTTTACAAATTCCCGATTTTACGAACGTCAAATCATATCATTGTCATAAAGTTCCTATTTCATGAACAAAACACACACCCGTGTCAAGAATTAATCGTTAGGAGCGGGTTGGAGTTATTGCCACAAGCACATGGATCGAGTGAAAAATGTTGTTGCTTTACTCGCCCTGTTGCGGCGCCCGATGGGCTGTGTTTCTTCGTAAGCTAGAAGATAAGTCATATATTATTGCCTGAGAAAAGTAGAATAATGTTTCTATACACATTAACAAGTATGTAAAGTACTGTACATTATTATGATCGTTATTTTGAATTTCTTTCGAGCGCAAGTTGGAGTTTTGGCTCCAATCTAACAAAATTTAAGTCCAGGCCTAGCCTAGCCCAGCCTATTGGTAGTGCAAATACATTGCAATTTCACACAACCCCGATTTTATGTACGAATGATTTTTATGAACACCTCTGGGCCCGTCCCGTACGTAAATGAGGGGTTCTACTGTACTGTATTTTTAATAAAACAGGGATTGTAATCAAAACATTTGCTGTTGCCAATAACAAAAAGTAAATGGAAAAAATTGACTCTGGCATCCTCTATAATAATTTTGCAACCATATACACATCTGTCTAATTGTAAAATTATATATTTTAGGTAATTCATAGCAAATTTTGTATAATGAAATGGTTGAGAGTTGGGAGTTGAAAAGTCAGAACTGGGAATGTATCTCATATTTTTTTCCTTTAGCTGGTCAACAAAGTGCAGGCTTCCAGCCCATGCCAAATACGCGTCCGTTTGCCCCGAGAGGAGGCAACCCAGCTATCCGCACTGCCAATCCTGCAAGAGTCCCTATTCCCCAGCAGCACCAGCAGCATGTGACAGGTAGGTAGCCAGTAACAGCATTCATATTTTATTGATTGCTACCAAAGGGTTGCAAATCATAAGTAAAACAAGCCTGACGTAAAGAATTACTACTTCTAGGAGATTAAAATTAGTTATTATAAAATGTGACTGGCTCCAGCAAAACCAGCCGTTTGTAGGAAAAAGTAAAATTAGTTTTTGGTGTTTTTGGATTCTGTATGCATTTTTCTTTAAAACAGTGTTTATTTGATAAAAATAGGTTGAATATTAGCGAAGTTATGAATATTTAATTCAATGGTCCAATATCAGCCATGTAGGTTTCGAGAAAACAGCTTCCAAAGATTCTAAAATTAATAGTTTATTAATATTTGTTTTGTTTTTGTTTTTTTATGTTAATATACTTTTCAGTTTGATTTAGTGACTGATATTTTCTTCAATATATCATCTTTTAGAAAATGCAAAAACATGAAAATGTTCAAAATTCTGATTCAAGACCGTTTTTGGTGCTTGTGGGAAATTAGGAATTGCAACAAATTGAGTGTTTTGCCATATCCGGTCACAAATGTCAATACAGCCCTGTACTAATCGTGAATTTTCTCTTCCAATAGGGGTGATCCCTCAGTCTGCTATCCGTGTTCCTGCCGCTCAAGGAATTCCAACTGTACCAGCTCAACAACGCCAAGTGAAGTATGCTAATGCTGTGCGCAATCAGACTGTTGCTAGTCAGTCTACTGGAATTCCTGTGGTAAGTTGTACAAACTATAAAGAGTTTACCCTGAATTGTAAATGATAAATGATCCATTCTTGTCTAAACTATAGCGAAAAATTACCATTGTGCATCAAGTTTTCTTATAAATTGCATTTCATGTTTGCTAATGAATTATACATCAGTCAGAAACACTGTACTAGCAAACTAAGAGAAACTACAGAAATTTAGTGTTATATTTTAAGGTTTGAAGTTTCAGTTTACCTTATAAATGTTATGGTTAGTGATGGAAAAAATATTGTATTAATATATAATGGCAGTATGCTATTTTGTTTTTGCTAATCAGGATGTTCCACAACAAGCTGTCCAAGTTCCTGGACAGGAGCCACTGACCCCATCCAGCCTGGCACAGGCCACCCCCCAGGAGCAGAAGCAGATGTTGGGTGAGCGTTTATACCATATTATTCAACCTAGCCATGGTGAGCGAGCTTGTAAAATCACTGGAATGTTGTTGGAGATTGACAACACTGAGTTGCTTCACATGTTGGAATCCCGTGACTCGTTGAGCGCAAAGGTAAATGTGTGATTTAGTTTTGTTTGTCCAAAATGAGTAGAGCTATTTTTACCATGTTCTATAAGGGAACGTGCACAAATGTTTAGTCGGCGTTAAATGTCGTTACTAACGTTTACGCGATGTACGAAGTCCCGTTATATGCAGCTAATTTGCATAAGCTATTTCGCGTTCAACGCGGAAGGTTAGACCATAGTAAAGACAATGAGTGCAGCGAAGGTTATCGCTTAACTCACGAACTGAACTGACTGGATCATACGAATACCAAGCATTCGTTCTACGATGTTTTGTATTGTATACAGCTGTGTTGCAGCACGCGGGGATCGTCAAAAAACACACTTTATGTTGATGATACTCGGCTTTGCCCTGTTCCTTCGATTGGGATATATTCAATCGGACAAGGAGAAGGAAAATAACATAGACCTAGGGGCCCAGGCGTACTAGTACTAGTAGGCCTATGCTGTCGTACTGGGTCGTTTGTATACAATTCCTACACATCACCCATCTCTTTAAAAAAACCCAAAAAACAATCACATACTGTAGGCCTACCTTTTTATATACAAGTTTTCCGTTTATTTATTTATTTACTTTTTTTTTGTCAACTATTCAACTTCGTTCCAATCGGCCTTCTAAAGCTGAGAGTTGCCTGTTTTTCTCAACTTTTTCTCTTGGATGCTTGACAGGACCTGCGTAGCGACAACCCCTGAGCCTAGGCCTAGCCTAGGTAATTTAAATCGTAATTGTAAATATCGCATTTGTTCGTGTTGCTTTTGTGAAAGCTAGAGAGATAGGCCTAGGCCTAGTAGACAATCGCGTTAATAATACCCCACAAATAATGAAACCGTATCCTTCTTGACACAACCACCTAGGGGCCTATGCCTAATCAAGACATGTTCGCGCGTGACAAGAAAATGCGTTTTGAGGAATATCAAGCTGTTTTTTTTGGGGGGTTTTTTTTTTAGTGCATCGTCGTATCACATGCTGTGGAGACACGAAGTATGCGCTAAATTTTTAGCTCAAGCGACCTGTTTTTCTTTTTTATATGGTAATATAGGCCTTATCGATCATTATAGGAAATCTATCGGGAACGATGCGAATTATTTCTCGGACAAGTCAACTCGGCCACAGTAAACTCGGCCACAAATAGTTATGATTATGCAGAATAAGATAATTTTATTAAAATGGATTTTATATTGCCTTTTTGAATCATTTTTCTTGAACATGACAACGATTGAAATAAAAGTAGTTTTAAGGCAGGCTCAGGTCGACACGGAACTCAACTCAACTCGTCGACATGAGCGCTCCGCGCAACTGAACGGAACTGACCGCATCTGAAACGACATGAGTCAAGTTGAGTTGAGTTCCTTTCAGTTGCCTATGTTCAACTTTTTGCGGAACTGAAAAAAGCGCGAAAAAATGCTAATTCGGAACTCAAAGGAACTGAAAACGTTGATCCTGATATTAATCGTAATCAAGATAAATTAACTTAAAAAAGATATTATACAGTATTACATACAATGTTTTGCTAATGGCAGATCTTTATTCTTTGTTTTAAAAAATATAGGCCATACTAGGTCAGATTTTTTATTCTAACACATTAACAAATAGGCCTAGGCTAGGCCTAATAATAATACTATCTAATAATAATAATACAGCATATACTTACCATATTCTAGCTAGCCTAGGCTAGGCCTAGAGTGTAGAAAAAAGGCAGGCTTCCTATGCCAGGCCTACTAGCCTACGTCTAACTATACGTACGACGAGTAAAGTCTTGACAACTATGGCATGCAGATCTCACTTCCAAAATCCATTTTTACGAATTATAAATAATCCAGTAATTCTTGGGAGTGTGCATTGTTTTTGAAGTTAGTTTTGTACAAATTCTTTAACAGTAGAACATTTATCTAGGGCCTATGCTTAGGCCTAGGTCAAGAAAAGCTAAATTCCTTTTTCAGAAAGTCCCTCTGTGCAGTGTAGTGTAGTGTTAAATTATGAATTCTATCAAAAGTATGCTGCTGCATTTGCATAATATTAAATTAATACATTTTTATAACATATTTGACAGCTGATTCATGTAAACATGGTCACGTATAAAATGCATTCGTGTATACTTGTTGTTGTTGTTTTTTCATATAGAAAAGTCGTCGACATAAAAGGGTGTACTGATTTTTAGTTTTAGTATTAAAGGTTGGTAGAAATGTATGATTAGGTGACTTAAAAAAATGGGTGTTAAAAATTTTGTTTACAATGCTACAAAACAACATAATACACTATAGACAAGTTTGGCGTAATATGAAGAAAACAAATCCTGATGTAATGCCGCCTCTGATTCAAACATGGAGAAATTTTAGACCTACATGTTCATACTAAAAAATATACATACTAAAAAATATAGCCGCCCGGTAGTTTTGGATCCTTGGGATATTTCAGGCGGAAAGAGTTTCTTGATAATATTGTGGGATTTTTTTTTTCATAAAAATCTGTTGGAATGAAAGGCTTGGGAGCAAAGTCCAAGAAGTTGAAGGGGAAAAGGGTGAATTAGTTGGATCATAGGTTTATGTTCATGTAGACCTAACATATAGGCCTAATCATCACATCTCAGTTTGGGAACTAAACATAAGGTAGTGAGTGACCCATGCTCTAAATACAATAGTTAAAATACACCTAAAATTAATCTATAATAAATGCCCACCTATACTCTAGTAGTAATATTAAACATTGGGTAACTAGTAGGTTAAAAAAAAACCAGCATCTTGCCGGTCATGTCTAACTAATTCAGCTAATAAAATACACTGGAATTATTTAAAAAAAAGAAAAAAAAAATCGATGTTATTTCATGTACAGACACAACTAATTCGAAACTTCGATCGATATTGGCTCAGTGTGGGAACTAGTTTATTTGTTGTTTATAGTAGTATTTAAGACGTTAAGTACCATAAACGACAAATAAATTGGTTCCCAGACTGAGCCAAAAACGTTCAAAAGACGTGTCTGTAAAAGGTTAACATGAAATAACAACTAGTTTATTTATAACGCCAATGTCTTCAGCTAACTTCACGATACACTGACAAAAAGCGTGAGATTGCAAATCCAAAGTGGATAGTTTATTGCAAAGTAAAGTAGAGGTGTTGTGGTCATGAAGTTCTTCTTTTTAGCTGCATCATTTTTTTTTTTTTGCCAGGCCTAGTTTTATTCAGATTGCAATACATCGAAAGTGTGGATCTCAACTCCCAAACCGCGGACGGAAATTAACACTACATTTTAAAATTATATTTACTGCATATGAAATTTTAAAGAAAAATAAACGTTTTCTCTTTTCATCCAAGTTTACTTCATTTCTTTCTTTCTTTCTTTTATTAATATTTCAAGAGAAAATATCCCACTCAACAAGGCTGATTTCCAGGGGAGTTCTCTTCTGGTTTTTTTTTTACTTATATTCTTTACATTGTTTGCACATAAATAATAACAATTGACATAAGCCTATTAAACATCATTTTCAATATGATATGTAATATAAAGACTTTTCATGCGACGCTTCGTGTGGCGCCAAACGCACTTTACAAAAAATATGAATACACATCGCAGCCCGTAAAATAAAGCTACTTTACTACCAGATTGTCACTTTGCTGCATGCTTGAATTGTAGTGCATAATTACTAGATACATGACTTAAGCGCTGTAC